GAAGGAGAAGAGATGCTCCGGAGGTTGGGACCTTCAGAGGGAAATCGGCCCTCCCTGCCTCTCACCCTGACCACGGTTATTGACCCTCCTTGCCCTGCCTGACCTGACCTGGGGACCATGTGATTCCTAAAGAAAGTAGCTTCAATGTGCTCCCTTCCTAGCTGTACTCTAGGTCTCTCTTTCAAGAGCACAGAGTTCATTTGCAGTTCTAGAATATACACTTCACTAATGTCATGTGCAAGCAGTGAAGTCAGGTCCCCGGGTCATTCAAAGAAGTCATGTCTTTTTCTCTACAGCAAATACCGTCAGTCCCGGTTCAGTCTGGGGGAAGGACTGTCCTACGCATTTTATAGCCATCATATAACTTGCATCTTCTGAGAACCTCAGGCTACTGCCCAAATCTCCCTCCTCCCCTTCACGGTTGTGAAACACTTCTATACTCATTATGATCATTTTTTCACTTCCCATTCTCTCCTCAACCCTGGCTTCCACCCCATCACTCCGTATCTACAGCTATGGCTACGGTCACCAGCGATTTCTGTGCTGTTAGATGCAATGAGCATCTTTCAGTCCTCATTTAACTTGACCTTTCATCCTCTTTGCACATGGATGAGCACTCCTCTCCTGAGTCATTCTTCCCTTCACTTCTGTAACCCACAATTTCCAGGCTTGGTTTCACCTCCCTCTCCCTCTTATTCTTTTTTCAGGTTCATTCTTCTTACCTATCAATTAAATGTTGGGTTTCCTTAAGGGGGAGACCCAGACACGGTCCTCTTTACACTATTTTTTATTTATTTACGAGAGAGAGATCAATTTCTTGTTCCACTCATCGATGCATTCATTGGTTGATTCTTGTATGTGCCCTGACCAGGGATTGAACCCGCAACCTTGGCATAATTGGATGCTGTTCTAACCAGCTGAGCTACCCAGCCAGGGCTCTTTACATTGTTCTTGATTTCTGGGGCATCTCATTCGCATGCATAGTGTCAATTGCTGTCTCTGCTAATGTTTCCTAAATGTGTACTTCCAGTTCAGACTCACACATCCAGCTACCTGCTAGACAACTGAACTTGAATGTCTTAAGGGCACCACAAGCCAACAAATCCACAGTAGCTCGGGTTCTTTTCCCAAACTTGTTTGTTTTCTGGGAGTCCCTCTCTTAGAGAAGGGCACCATCAAATCATCCAATTGCTCAAACTATGAATCTGGGCATCATTCCTGGTACATTCCTCGCCCTCAATACCCCCACCCTGCCCTATATAGATAATCTATTACCAAATTCTGTCCATTTTTATCTCCTAAATAGCTTGCTGGTGTGTTCACTTCTCTCTATTTCCACCCCATTCTAAATTGCCATCTTATTTCACCTGCGCCACAGTAGCTGGCATGCCTAAACTCATTTTACTACCTTTTCCCAAACCTATTCTTAGCTAAAGGTCTCTTCTAAAAGCAGATCTGATAATAGTGGCCCTTGCTTAAACCCTCAATGTCCTGCCACTGATTTTAGGATTAAAAACAAAACATTGTGAGCCATGGCTGGCGCGGCTCAGTGGATTGAGTACCGGCCTGTGAACCAAAGGGTTACTGGTTTGATTCCCAGTCAGGATACATGCCTGGGTTGCCAGCCAGGATCCCAGTAGGGGGCATGTGAGAGGCAACCACACATTGATGTTTCTCTCCCTTCCCTTCCCCTCTCTCTAAAAATAAATAAATAATATCTTTAAAAAACAACAACAACAACATTGTGAGATCCTGCTTATCTCTCCACCCTCACTTGGTTTTTGGTTCCCTTTAATCCTCTTCCCTCCAGCCTCACTGACCTTTTTCCTGATCTGCACCACAGGACTTTTGCACATCCAGCTTCTATTTAGCTATACTTGTTCTTCAGTGCTTAATTCAAGCATCACCTTCCCAGAAAAACCTTATCCAAAATTTCTTATCCCGTCATATGTCTCTATTATAGGTCCTTAAAACACCATGTTGCCATTCTTAGCTGCATTTGTCACAGTTGCAATTTTGTATTTGTAAGTATGATTATTCAGTCATTGTATGTGTTCCACACTTGACCGTAAGTTACATCTGGTATTTCTCATAATTGTACCCAGTGCCTGGCTTACAGTGAGCACCCTGCAAACATTTATAGAATGAAGGATCAAAAAAGATAGGTACTATTTTTAAAACAGGCACTATTATTAACCCATGTTATATAATGAAAAAAATTGAGGTTTAGAGAGGTTAAGTAACGTGCAGCTAAGCAGTGACTGAGGCAAAATTTGGACCTGCTTTTCTGACTTCAGAGCCTGTATTACTAGCAGAACTCTGCTTTTCAGGTGGACCCAATACCAAAACTGGATTAACCAGCAGCTTTCTAAGGACAAGAGTTCCCTGCAGCCACATCCGCCTAGTCCTGGAAATCAAAAACAGAATCCTGGAAATCAGAACAGAATCCTAGAATCCTAGAGCTGGATGTGATTTCAAAATCATCTGGTGAGAAGTGGTCTCTCAAAGTAACATAGCAAGATGGCGACAGAGTTAGGTTTAGAACTTCTAACTCCAAACTCAATGCTTTACACCTTGAATACACTATATCCACTGTGCCTCTTTTCCCAGGGCAGGAGCTTAGTGTCCAAGGTCCAAGGTTATATCTGCCAAGAGCAATGACCTCCAAACTTTTTCGAGTGTAGTTAACTCGTGATCGAGGGAGAGGTGCAGAAAGCAAAAGATTCCTGGATCCGCCTATCATCACATTCCAGGATAAAAAAACTCAGTGCTATCAATTAGGGCTATCCTGCAGGCAAATTTAGGGGCACCCTTAAACATCTACTTGAGTAGTAGGCATATAATTTGTTTTGCCCCAAGCAAAGTACTCAACTGCTAAATCCATAAACTGCATTATACAACTCTCTGAGGGAAGTACCACAATTAAGTTCACTTTACAGATAAAGAACTGAGGCTTATAGAGATTGAGTAATTCATCCTATCCAAAGTTACAAAGTTTATGAGGGACAGAGTGGGAAAATGCTCTAGGTTGGCCCTAACCAGGTAGCTCAGTTGGTTAGCGTGTCATCCTCATACACCAAGGTTGTGGGTTCTGGTCACGGCATGCACAAGAATCAACCAATGAGTGTATAAATAAGTGGAACAAAAAATCGATGTTTCTCTCTCTCCTCCCCCTTCTTCTTTCTCTCTAAAATCAATAAATAAAAACAATGTTTTAAATGTTCTACGTCTAGGCTCTTAAACCCTATACTAACTAAGTTCTTTCAAAAAACATTTCTTTCACCGCTGTCTGCCTAATACATTTATCATTTCATTTTAAAAACTAGTTTAACAAAAACAAAAATGAGATACTCTGTATGTTCAAATATAGAAAGATTATTATTAAGGCAAAAAAAATCTATGGTGACCTGTCTATGGTTTATACATAACTAAAAAGTACATATATAATCAGCCATTAATCTGTTGGAAGCAGGACTGGAGAAGCCATAAACAAGAAGCAGCCAAAATAAATAAATACCAATAAAAATGAAAAGAAAATAGGAAAAAAACAGGAAACAGCCTTTTACTCTTCACTCCTCTACTTCATGAGCAAATTATTATTTAATTTTTTAAAACTTGAAATGTGTACTGTAAATGTGAATATATATCATTTCACAGTGTAGCTAACTAAATACCCACCACAAACTACACTGGCAGCAATTTAATCCCCTTATTCACACTCAAACCAACTCCCTTAAAAATGAAGGCAAAACTAAGGACAATAAAGCAATGCAGGCCCTGGAGTCTGATCAGGGTTCAAACCCCTGGTTCCACCATTTATCAGCTTATCCGGTGGGTTATTTAACCTCTATGAACCTCAGCTTCCTCACCTGTGGCATGGGGACACCCCTGCCTCCTAGGATACTGCTAAGGACAGGAAAGATAAACTCAGGTCAAACACTCAGTACAGAGCCTGGCAGGTAGTGACCAGTCAATAGGGCTAGTAGCCATTATTAGGCACCCCAGGCAGGAAAGTTCCAGGCTTAGAAAGTTAGATCAACCATAGGAGCTTTTGCAGGTCAGTTTGACCCACGGTGGAAGCCACGGGCTGGAACCTCTGTGGCACTGCAATGCCTCAACCTGAAGTCTGAAATCCAAGACACTCTAAGACCAAAAGCTTTTCTGTAAGTCTAAGGCGAACGAGTTCATTTGGAGAAAGATCTTGAAATGCCATGAAGCCATGTAATGTCTTTATTGATTACACTTGAGATGACTAGCCATACATTTTCCTGAGGAAATATCGATTGCTTGATTATGTGGTGCTGCCTGGGACCTCACCAAGGATTTTACATAATATATGGTAGGTGCACCTTGTTACTTTTTAAAAATCTATGAAATCCTGAGTTCCAAAAAATGTCTGGCTCCAGAGGTTTCAGATATGTATTGTAAACTTATCTTTCCAGAGAAGCTCTGAGGTCTTCCTTGTCCACAGCCCATCTTGTCCCTATTAGTGATTGGCTAGGTCATATGTGGGGACAGAGGAACCTGGCTGAGTCTCAGAGGCCTCTGGGCATGCCTGGGAATCCAGCAGCAACACAGTCCCTTGGGAGCTGCCAGACAAATTTTCTAATCTCTCGGACTCGGTTTTCCTACCCGTAGCATTGACACAATACAGCTTGCCTGAGAAATGCCACCATTGTTTTCTGATAGTAAAACACAAGGTAGGGAGGTAGGATCGAGTGGGAGGAGAGTTGATGTGGTCTTGGCAGAGGAAATAAATGTGTTTCTTATCTTTTTCCTCCAGGCTCTTCTCCTCTGACATTATTAAAATGCCTGGCAGATACTTTGAATGTTTGTTTTCATCAAGTTTCCTTGCCTTTCTAATCTGCAAATACTTCTGTGTGGTTTCTTTTCCTGAACATTCTGTTTTGCCTAGCCCCTGGGTTTTCTCAGCCTCACCTGCCCAGTGTGGGGTGTGGAAAAAATAACTTTCGTCCACCTTCTAAATTCTTCTAGCAGGTATACTTACCTGGTAGGAGAGATACCATGGTCACAACGGTGGTTTTCCCAAGTTGAGGCTTATGCATTGCACTCCCCATGTGCTGACCCCTGTGATTTCCCCAAATGTGGGAAACTCGACTGCGTAATTTGTGGTGGTGGGGGATTGCGTTTGCGCTCTCCCCTGAAAAGAAATGAAAATAACAAAAAAGAGTGGATTTGTCTAGCTGGGCTAATAACCACATCAACAGGTTAACATGAGAAAATGTGTACAAAGTTTACTATGGATGTACATGTTGGGGATGTCATGTGACTGGGATTGGAAACACAGTGGGGAGTTGAGGCTAATAAGCCATTCTAGACAAAGGAGAAGCAGGGCAGGGGTCTGGGGTTCCAGAGGGAAAGTAGGTGATTCACAGGTAGTGAAAAGAGCAAGTGCATGGTGATCAAATTCTTGTTGGGCCATTCAGAAACAATGGAATTCAGGGGAAATGGGGCTTTGCTAGGTTTCTTCCTGTGCCACATATGTGCTCACTTATATGTCCTAAGGTGATTATGCTAAGGTTCCCTTCCTGAAGCAGGTAAAAACAAACAAACAAACAAAACTGAATTACTTTAGGCAGAAAGGGAGAGGGTCGAAATTTGTCTCTGAGTCAATTTGTTTTTCAATAACCAGATTAAAATCAGCATCCCAAGAGGCCCATTGTGGGGTGGCAAAACTGTGATCCCCTCACCAGCAACCAGGTAGCAAGGCAGAGACCTTGTTAGAGAAGACATGAGTCCCCAGTGGACTCCTGCCAGCCCCGGTCACTCCAGTGAAACAGATGAAGTAAGCCCTAGGTTATCACTGTTGTTCATGCTGGGATTGTCATTAGGACCCTGAGGGAAAAAGGACGGGCAGGGGCGAGGTGGTTTCCCTTTTACTAATTGAAGTCATATCCATCCAGTCCCAGTGAAAACAGTGTCTGAACTGGCAAGCATAGAGTCACAAGATGTGAGAGCTGCAAGGGACATTCCAGCTTACGTACTGAAGGCAGTAGCAGCGGGATAGTTGCTTTTCTTTATTCAGCAGATGTCTATTAAGTGTCTATTTATGCCAGGCTGCATACCAAAGATGAGCCATCGAGCCCTATCCTTCTCCCCGGAGCTGAGTCAGGTAAGAGAGAAAGGCAAGATTCAAAAGTACAGTGTGTTGAGCCCTGGCAGGGTGACTCGGTTGGTTGGAGCATCATCCCGTACACCAAAAAGGTTACAGGTTCGATCTAGTCAAGGCACATACCTAGACTGAGGGTTCGCTATCTAGTCAGGATGTGTACGGGAAGCAACTGATCAATGTTTCTCTCTTGTATCCATGTCTCTCTCTCTCTCTCTCTCTCTCTCTCTCTCACTTCCCCCTTCCTCTCTCTCTCTAAGATCAGTAAACATATCCTCAGGGATGGATTAAAAACAAAAGTACAGTTTGTTGAGTGCTGTGATCGAGAAATACAGGATATTATAGGAAGCTGATGGAGGCGAATCCAGACCTGGCTGAGGAAGAAACACCTGAACTGAGATTTTAGGGACATCTGGGTGGGTGTGGCTGGTAATTTCAAGGAAACAGACTGACGTATGGGAAGGCAGCGCACTGTTAGGGAACTCAGACTTGCCTCTTCGTGTTTGTGTGTATTTGGCCTTATTCCACAGCTAAAATACTCTTGTCTCTGATGACCAGGGCCATATCTTTTAACTTTGTACCTTCAGAACCTACTCGGTTCCCTAAATACGTTAAGTGCTTGGCCAGTGGTTATCAGTGGGAAGTGTTTTCCTACACACAGAGGGAGAAAAGTCTTGTCCTCAGAAAGTCACCTCTGGGACAAGCACACACTACTCTAGACACACACACACACAATCCCAGGTCCTGTATCATAGCAACCTCCCCCACCCCCCGCTGCAGCCCCCCACCTGGACAGCCAGCTTCAAGGACAGGGTAAAGGCCGGATCATGCATCAATTTCATGTCTCTTTCCTTTGACTGGGTATTGATCTCTGATAATTTTTTCCAAGTTGGAAGTTACTTAATTTCTTTGGGACACATTTTCCTTACCTGTAGCCTGGGAATGATACATGTTTATAAGAATCAAATGAGATAATGTCTGAGAAGATGCTTCAAAAACTGTAGAGCGCAAGGCAGACATAAAGCATTCTTATTCTTCCACTCATTTTTATTTTCGTTATGACATCAGGTGAAAGACCTGGTCAGGCTGCTTGCTCCTGCTGATAATTCACATCCCCACACCCCCACAGATAAACATCCACACATCCTGGCTCCGGGAAAAGTGGGAAAGTGCCAACAGTGCAGCTTCCCCTGCCAGTGAGCAAATGCTCACATGCCCCCGAGGCAGCCTCTGAGATTGATGGTGATGGAGTCCCAAGCTCTGCAGTCAGAGGTTGCCGAGCTCCCTCACTTCACGCTCTGGAACTGCCTCTAGAAGCTGTATTAACTCGCCCTTTCTCCTTCCCAGGCTTGAGGGAGCCTGTGTGTAGTGGGAGAGCAAAGAGCTGGGCCAGACTGGTACTGAAAACTCTCCTTATCTTCTTTGCTGACATTAGTCAGTGTGGTTATATACTTCCAAAGCCCCCAAAGAAGTTTCAGAGGCCAACTACTGATCTTATCGCTGGGTGGGGGAGGGTCTGCCTCTAACCAAGGGATCTGACTCAGAAGCAGTGAAAATCTCTAGGGTTCTCTCTTGAGTCCAGAGTCAAGAATTGGTTCCTACTATCTGCTTATACCCAGAAATCCATGTGGCATTGACCATGATCTTGACTTGGAGGCACGGAGCTCGCTGAGCTGGGGTGGAGCTCACCTTCTCCTTTATGGGGATCATCTCTTCCAATGTGTGGCTCACTGATGCAGCTGGTGAAGCAGATCTCCCCACACTGATTTACATTCCCTAGGAAACACTGTGAGAAAATCAATCCCTGATAGAAAGAGCTCAAAGTTTGTGCATGAAAAAGCTTATGAAGGGGAGTCCTTAGGTGGAAAGAAATTAGCAACCAGAACTGACTGCAAGAAAATAAGAGCCAAGCCCTGGCTGGTGTGGCTCAGTGGACTGAGTGCTGGCCTGCAAACCAAAGGGTTGCTGGATCAATTCCCAGTCAGGGCACATGCCTGGGTTGCAGGCCAGGTCCCAGTAGGGGGTACCCAAGAGGCAACCACGCATTGATGTTTCCTTCTCTTTCTCCCTCACTTCCCCTATCTCTAAAAATAAATAAATAAAATCATTTTAAAAAATCAGAGCCCATAGTCTTGGATTCTGCTTGGGGAATATCAGAGAGGTGGGAGCAGAATATGACATAAAGGCATCTTCTCCAAAGTTCACCCAGGGCCTACTCTATCCCTTTTCTATGGACCTTGCTCTCGTACCTACTATCTCCTCCAGGAAGCCTTCCAAGGCTGCCCTGCCTGTAACAAATAATCCTGGCCTATGCCTAAACCTTTCCCTTTTCCACTAAGACATTCAAGATAAGACAGGACGTTTTGGGGGGCTTAAGAAAAATACCTAGACACTAAAGGTAAAATAAAATTAAAACAGAGACTGTAAAAACCTAGCCACTGAAGGGCTGATGGCACTCAACAGCATTACAGGGTAGCTGAGTCTGTTCCCTTCCCCATGCCCACTTGCAGGCAGCATCAGCTTCCCAGAAGCAGGAGGCTCCAACAGTACTCTCGACGCCTTGCCCCTTCCCCACAACCAATCTCTCCTCTCTGTTCTCCCCCAGAAGTGCCTCAAGCCCGTCTCCTGTTCTCCATCGTGCTGACTCTGCCCTGTTCTATCTCTTTCCTGGGCACTAATGTAGCTTTGCCTTTCTTCGCTCCAGGCTGCCTACCCAGAATTTCCTCCTTTCCTGATCTTCCTGGTGAATGTCTCATCCTTTAGAAAAACTCAGTTCAAACGTCACCTCCTCCAAGAAGCCTCCAGGGACTTCCCAGGCAGAGCTGTTTCCTTCCTTGTGCACTTTTCAATTACCCTAAAATAGCATTTATCTCAATGTGCCAGATTGCTGGTTAACCTGTTTTCCTGGCCTACCACCCCTCATGGCAGCTCCTTCGAGGACCTAGCCTATGACTTATACTTTGTATTCTTTAGAGTCTAGTGGGGGTCTGACCTTCCTTACAAAGCAGGAAATGCTTGATGGAGAAAGGAAAGGAGTAGAAAATGAATGAAAGCTTTACGTAGTTATAGACTCTTCAGTTTCTGAGTCACCTCCTCTACCTCATGAGGGATAAGAGGTAATTTTCCCAAAGGGGGCTCTTACTGTCCACTAGCCCACCATCCTCTGACACGCATGTCACATGGTGCCGATTGCCCCACAGTTTCTCCAAAGCTGCTGAAGAGGCCTACAATCCTAAAGAAGCAAAGGCCCAGGGAGATTAGGTGACTGCCTAAATTCACACGGCCAGTTAGTGACAAAGACCGGACTAGAACTCAGGTCTCGTTGTGCCCCAGCCAGGGCCCTTGACACAGTACCAACGGCCTCTCTTCAAGTTTTCCCTCCAGGCAACAGCATGTAATTATCAACATTAGTATTGGGAATTTACTTGTGGCTTTTGCTTCACTGGCTTTTCTATTATCCTTTTGATTAGTAATTCGGTATGCAGCCCAGACTTGGAGCAGAGCCAAGGTAGGGAGGGAAGGAGCAGAAGGAGGCCGAGGCCAAGAAGGGGACCGCGGGGCCCTCTGAGAGCAGGGCCGGAGAGGACCAAAGAAGCAAGAGGGCACACAGACACAAGAGAACAGTGTCCTGTGTGGACGTGTGTGGGGGTTGGTGGGGGTGGGCGGTGTACCGATGCCTAAAGGGCCTCAGATGAGTGGTCCAAGAGCCTCCCTAACCCCGGGGCTTCCCCTCTAATGTGGCAGAGGCAATAAGAGCAAGAACATTTTTAACACCCAACAGGTTAAACACCAATACCAGCTCTGAGACAGACCACAAGGCTGAGGGAGCATCCTGACCACCCCTGAAGAGGAGGGGGCCCATGCTCCATGACGAGAAGGTGGGGGTGGGTAGGGCTTCTGGCTCCAACAGTGCCTGTTGGGAACTAAATGGAATCACTCCAGGTGCCCCAGGTCATGTGGCAGGTAGTGACTTGGGTGTGAACAGAGGGGCCTGGGAGCCCACTGCTCAGTGCGCCGTGGCACCTTGGATGGGATGCCAGCCCCGGCCCTGGCTTCACCCTGCTCTAGGGTTTACTTTGCAGGCCCCTATTGACCTTCATGAAATAGAAGTACTCTCCCCTCCCAACCCCCTGGTACTGGGGTGAGACTCAAGACCTTCTGGGGAGGTTGGAAAATAGCCTCATCCACTCATAACCCTCAAGATGAGGGTGTCCCCATGCTACAAAAAGAAAACTGAAGCGAAGGGTGTGGTGAGAGGCGCCCGGTGGGGCAGACAAGCCGCTGGAGGCCCTGGGCACGGGGCTCAGATCTCGCTCTGGCATAGCTGAGGGGAAGGCTTACCCAGTGATGGCCTATTGGGAGGCAGCGTGTCACATCTATCATCTCACTTTGTCCTCGTATGACCCTTATGAGGTGGATACAGCTCTCCCATTTTGCTAATGAGAAACGAGGCTTTGAGAGGTTAAGTAATTTGCTTAAGATTATGTAGTTTTAATAAGTGGGACAACCAGGACTAAAACTCAGGCCCATGGTCTTTAAAGCCCTTGCATTTCCCAGCACAGCACTGTTGCCACCACAGGAAGAGATTTAATCTCTATGAGCCCAGGGTCTTCATGAGTAAAATGGGGGAGGGGGAGATTGTATTGCCTTATAGATTTGTTTAAAAATTAAATGAAATTATATTGGTTAAAAGCATAAAAACCTGCGTGGTGCCTGATAAATGGTAGGCGTTCAATGAATGTTTTTTTGTTTGCTTCTTTTTCTGTTTAGCGTACATCAATATTAAAACTCAGGGCTTGGGCGCCTAGGAGCTCCAAAAACGCTTCAAAAAGCCCGAGGACCTCGCACTGATTCTCGGGGAGCACGAGAGCAATCTGGGGAGAAAGGACTGGGCTCCAGGAGCCAGAGGAGCCCGTGGCAGCCTCGCGCCCCTCGCTCCGCCGCCTCCGCCGGCTCCCCCGGCTTCGCGCCCCGCCCCGCCCCGCCCGGCGCTGGGTCCGGAGCGCCTGGTGGGCTGATTCCGGAGCGTGGAAGGGAGCACGAAACACGGAGGCGAGAGGGAGGCGGCGGCGGGAGGCGGGGAAGAGGGGACCCTCCTGGCTGCTCTCCCAGGTCGGCGCGGAGCCGCCTCGGGCCAGGCTGCGGGCTGCGCGGCGGCGGCGGCGGCGGGGCCGGGCCGGGATGCCGGGCTCCCGGGACCACGCCGGGCGGGGCGGGCGGCCGCGGCTGGCAGCAGGCGGGAGCTGTCCGTTGTGCTGAAGCGGCGGCGGCGGCGGCGGCGGCGGCGGTGACCCGGGGCCCGGCGCAGCGGTGCCCTCCTGGGAGTTCCGCCGCGGCCACGAGGCGGGGCGCCGTTGCTCACCGGCCCATGCCGGGCCCCCGAGCCCCGCGAAGGAGGCGGGACCGTCCGCGACAGGACAGGTAAGGGGACGTCTGGGGCGCATCGGGAGCTCAGAGCTGGGCGCTGAGCCGGGACTGAGCCTGGGAGGACAGCGGGGCCCTTCTCAGGGATGCGCACTCCACCAGAGAACGCGCCAAGTCCATCCCCACCCCTCACCCTACAGGGTGACAGGGGCCTGAGGGACTGGGGCCCAGACAGGCTCCTGAGCACCCTGACCCCACACCACCAGGCCTTGACCCCAACCTCAGGCAGCTCTGAAACACCCTGCCCACCAGGAACGCTTGTGAGAGGAGAGTCTCATGGACTCCCTGGTACCCCCGTCCCCACCAGGGTTCTGCGACACTAGGGAAATTTGAACCAGCCTCCCAGCTGCCCTCCCCTTCCCCAAGCCTCCTCATCAGGGTGACTGCCTTCAGATTTCTGTGCCCTGCAAGTGACCCTTGGGCCAAGGGATGGGCCAGGCCCCTCAGGACCTATTAACCCATTTCTCCAGGGAAGGAAAGAGGTGCCAGAAGATACCTTAATTTTTTCCCTGTGGCCCTCTTGGCTCTTATGGAAGGAGGCTGGTTTCACATCACACCGCCTGGTGCATGGGGGCAAAGAGTGGGAAGACCTGAGTCCTGTTTGCAATGATGTGCCTCAATGCTGGTGACCCTAAACAGAACCTCTGTTTGGAGTCCTTCCTCTTTTGGCAAGACTGAGCTGGATGAGCTCATTCAGGCCTGCAACGTGCTTCCAGTTCTTCAGAGCAGAGTTCTCTGGGTGCCACAATGTAGCAGTCAAAATAAAACTGCGTAGGGGAGGCTGGCCTGTCGCTGTGGCTGACCCTGGCCTTGTCTCCATCCCTCCATCTCAGAACAACTTCCCCACCCCCTGTGGTGGGACGGGCACCGGGCTAGCAGTTCCTGGCTGGGCACTGGCATTGATGGGCTTTAGCCCAGTTACCTGAGCTCTCTGAACCTCACTTTCCTCATCCCTAATGTGAGAATAAGGTAGCTGCTGTGTTCGCCTCAGACAACTGCCTCGGGACTCCATGGAACAATGTCCTGATTGAAGTCCAGCATGAGCTGTTATCACTGTGTCCATCCACCAGCCAGCCCTGCTGGCAGTGACCTGTCGCTGTCACCCTTACCCCCTTTTCTCCCAGCCTGGCTTTGGCTCCCTTTGCCCTTGGCCTCCCTGGGGTTCCAGAGTCTGCAAAACCCAACCTACAAATCTTGAGGAGCTAAAAGGGTTCTCTGCCCTTCTCCCATTCCATCACCTATAGAAGACAATATAGGGTGAGAGTCTGACTCACAGTTTTTATTTTTTTTCCCCGAAGAATCACAGATCTAGGGAAACAGCTCCTTGAAGGCAAAGATTGTGTTGTTTTTATCTCTTTGCTTCCTTCCACACCTCCTCTCCCCCATAGCACCTGGAAGGTAGTAAGGACTCAGTAATTGGGTGTAAAATAAGAGAATGAAGTTTTAAAATATCTCAGAATAAAAACATTTGACTGGAACTCAGGAGCCTTGTGTTCTGGTCCCAGGTCTTTCAGTGACTGTCTCAGGCAGTCCCCTCCCCTCTGTAAGCTTCAGTTTTCTCAACTGTAAAAGAGGGTTGAACTAGATGGGTTTTATTCTGATGTTCTGTGGGACAATCTGAGGGCTGTTCTGAGCCTACAAATCCCTAAGTTTTCCTTGAATGCAGGATACCAGCTTCATAACCCTGACAGAAGAGTGAGTCAATGTCCTTTCAGTGAAGAACTGGATATTATGAATGCAGTGGAATGGAGAGACGATAACTAAGAAAAGGACATTTACAGTTTTAGCGTTTTCTTTAGATCCCCTACTCTTCCAAATTTTCTTGGGAAAGCCCTGAGTGCACACAGAGTGGGGGCTGCTGCCCCCAAGCCAAGGGGCCAGGAAAGCAACCCCCCTCCCACGCACACCCTTGTCAGCAGCCGAAGGCTAGGGACCCAGTCCTTGGCCATCTCCTCCCAGAGCCCTCCCTGACTGGGTTCCCCCTCCTAAGACGATGGAAGGAGGGGACAGTCAAGATCCATCCCTGGGAGAGCTTTTTTAATATAAAAACAAAATGAGCTTCTGTGACAATAATTTTCCTCAACTGTGGCAGGCCTGCCTGGCTGATGTGCAGAAAAACCTAAGCTAATTGGCACTCGGGTAGAGCTGAGTAAGCCATGCCAGTGACCCCCCCCTTACCCATGACTGCCCCCTCCCCCCGTGTCAGCACTTTCTGGCTCCCAGCTGTTGGTGCAGCACTGGCAAGAATCAGCTCCTCAGAGTTAATGGACAGTCACTAACCCTCCTAACAAGGTGACAGCGGCAGTAGCAGCAGCAACCATAGAGAGGGGCTTTCTGTTCTGCAAGACTGGTCGGTGGGGGTGCTGGCCTACTGATGGGGCTGGAACCGTGCACCACCCCTCCTTCCACGGCCGTCTGCTGGACACCCCACCCCCAGAGCTGTCAGGGTTCAGGGCGTCTCTGGTCACCAGACAGGCACATCTGGCTTCTCGCCCAGCAGGGAAAAACTACTCCCTCCTTGTGCTCCCCTCCTGCCCCTCCCTGCTGAGGCGGCTACTCTGCACCCCTCTGCAAGGCTTCAAAGGGAAGAAGGGAGTCAGCCCTGGCCCACAACAGGGTGGTCTTAGTTATCTGGGGCTGGGGATGAGAGAAGTCTGAGGAAGAGGAAGACATGAATGTCATTAAGAAATGATGTGTGTGTGCGCGTGCACGCATGTGTAAGAAAGAGATTGAAACATTGAAATACACATATGCAAGTCCCTTCCCCTGGGTGGCACACACAAAATGAAAGAGGAAGAGAACAGAGAAATCTGCACATTATTAATTACCTTCAGATCCAAAAGCCAATTCATCTGTGCGTCCTGGAGGAACTTCCAGTCCCAAAAGTACACCACTCCAGGGAGGAAAGAAGCAGAAGAAACGGCCTTCGCTTTGGCAAGAAGAAACATTTCAGTTCCTTAAACCTTTGACATTTTCCAGCCCCCTTCCCTTCTCAGGCATTCTGCCTTCAGCAAGGTATCTTCTGCTACAAGCCAAGGGACAATAAAGACTGATCGCATCCTTACTCTCCATATCCCTGTTTTCTCATCTCTTGCCTCCTCCCGTACCCTCTCTCCTCCCTCCTCCCTGCAGCTGCCACCCCGCAACCCCCACCCCAGGCAAACCAAGCAGGGAGTGAGGTCCCAATGCTCTAACTCCTCATTATGTGTGCTGTCTTCTGTCATCAGATGCTGTTTGCTTGTAAGTGGTTGGGAATGAGCTGCTTCAGTGGAGACAGGTTGTTTCAGTGAGAATAAAAATCTGATTTCTGCCTGAAAATGAACTACTTGCCCAGCGATTTTCACTCTTGTCAGCCACAGTCCCATCCTCCAGGGGCAGTGAACCTTTCCAGTCCAGCCCCTGGAAGCCCAGTGTGGCAGTGGATAGAAAACAGGGTCAACTTTTTTCTCCTGGAACACGGCACCTTAGAACAGTTCTATGCGCTGAGACGTGTTCCGACTGTTTTTTCTCTTTCCTGGGCTCCCTTCCTTGGCCCTCTTCCCTTCTCCCCCCTCTCCACAGGTCCTTCAATAATTCCCAAGTCTCTCTCCAGCCAACTACCCAGGGCTTCAACTCCACACATTCAATTGCCACAGGGAATTTCTCCCCTGGTACCCCCAAAACACTTCAAGACCAAACTCATCCACTTCTCCTTCCCATCCTGCTCTTGGATGCATGTGTGTTTCATATTTCCAGCTCGAAACTTGGTGGGCCTTTTCAATCTAAATATTCTGATTCCTTTCAACTCAGGAAATGCTTTCTGCTTCTGTTCCTTTAATTATTATTTTCCTCTAGTCTTTCTGAACCTCCTGTTGGGTGGATGTTGGACCTCTGGGACGATCCTCCATATCTCTTAACTTTATTTCATATGCTCCATCTTTTGGTCTTTTTGCTCTATATTTTGGGGAAGTTTAAGTTTCTCTTATGTTAAAAAGTTGGTTCTTAACTGTGTCCATTCTATTACCAAGTCTCTGCATTAAATTTGTGAAAATTTAGGCAATTATTTTCAGTTTCCCAAATACTTTTATGTCTTTGATTGCTCCTTTTACATAGCAGCTTGTTCTTGTCTTAGAGATGCAACACCCTCTCACATCTCTGCAAGAATATGAATTAAAAAATAAATTAAAGATCTTGCTCTGAATGGTGTGGCTCAGCTGGTTGGAGCATTGTTCCATAAAGTGAAAGGTCACCGGTTCTATTCCCAATCAGGGCACATGCCTAAGTTGTGGGCTTGGTCCTTGGTCAGGGCACATATGAGAGCTGATGTTTCTGTCTCGCGCCAATGTTCCTCTCTCTCCCTTCCTCTCTCTATAAAAAATAAATACATTTTAAAAAGTATAAACTATAGTTTTAAAAATGTAAAGATTTTTTCTACAACTTGGATGCTTCTGATCTTACTGGGTCGTTTGTTCTGTCATTTTATACTTTTTCTTTCATTTTCATGTATTCATTATTCCTTTGTGTCCATTCAGACTTATGAATAAAAGAAGGTGTTGACTAGCATAGGCAGCTGGTGTGGATTTCCTTGGAAGCTGAGTACGTTTGTTTCCCTAACAGGCCTCTGCCTTGAATGGGAATTGTTCTTACCTCTGGCGTTTGGGGCTGCAGATTTCTTCACCAAGAAATTTTATCTGCTCTTTATCCCCCAGAAATTCCTCAGTACTTCTGGCCCACTGATATTTTTCTTTTCCCTTTTCCAATGTTATGATTTTTATCCTTTAAAAATAGATAGATATGCCCTAAAAGTTCATTTTAATAGAACTTGAAGAAGGAGAAGAGGGGGTTGTTTGTGCTCAGGCTGCCTTCTTGAGCCAGCAGCCTCCCCTTAGATTTTCTGCCTCAGCTGGTGGAATCACCTTCTGCTTAGCTGACCAAGCCAGGAAGCTGGGAGTCATTCCTGGCTCCTCCCCCTCCCTCACTTCTAGTGAACCACAAGGTCCCACTTATTTGGCCTCGTA